CAACGGAAGCACCGAAAGTTTGTTCAAGTATTACACAAGACTCGAACGAACCCTGAAGGTTTCTGACGCTTTTCATTTATTTCCTTTCCTAGCATTTTCACCTGGTCTGCTTTATTTACTATCTTATAAATAGCTACGCCCACAGGGTTCTCGCTCTGAAGGAAAGGTTCCGAAACTTACAATTAGAAGGACCAATTTTTTTGGGCATTTTGAGCTCTTTTGCAGCTGTACTCAACCTTTGGTGTCTGTGCGATTTACATGCCCTATATGGGAGTCGGACACCGGCACTCGCTGAGATCCCGATGACATTCGGGAACTCCAGCAGTCAGTGGGATGCGGCCGGTGTTCGCGGACTCCGCTACTCGATGGGAGAAACCACTCCAGAGCCCTGTTCCCTTGAAAACTCATCCATTGGCTCGTCACAAGTACTTTTAGCTTTCGAGATTTTTGCAGTCGCGGTCCTCTACTTCTATGTGCACTGGCCTTTAGCGCCAGGACCAGCAACAACATTTCTAGGTCCTCACAACCTCTGAAAGGCACATTCTATATAGAATAACGGAAGGGTAAACAGACTACGCGCGACACATCATTAGTTGAGGATTTTGGCTGAATCCGTACGACCCCACCCCCTTGTTCCCTTTTCTTCGAGCTGTTGAGGGAAAAGTGAGGAAAATACGATCCCTCCCAACAACGAACAAATACCATTCCCCCTTTGCAACGTCCGTGAAACAAGAAAAATCAATTGGCAATTCGTCACAAGTGGGGCATTTCGCACTCTCGCTACTCCCATCGATGTGTCGACCCATCTAGAGAGCCTTTTCTTGAGTTGACAGGTTTACCATGGTGGCTCGACGAGCTTGCTCCAGCTTCACAAGAGTTCACAGGTTTCACCAGAGTGAGACTTGTAAACCAGAACTAGTGAAGCAGCGAAAGTGCAAAATGCCCCCCCCGCTCCCGTAGCCGAACTGCGTCAAAATCAACTGTCAAAATAATTTTTCAAAGCCCAAGTACGACCTCCCTCTCCTGGCGACCAAATACGACCCCCCCCTATTGGGGATTCCCCAACAACGATGTGCCCTGAGACTTCGCCAATTTGGTGTTCCAAAAGGAAGTAACGATTGTGCCAGGGATTCGCGTAGCTTCCGACAAGGTCCCTTTCGATCCAAACGCTCCTCCCTGGACGAATTTAACGCCTCAACTAAAGTCAAGCAGGTTAGACGACTATGAAATGAATAGCCTTTTCAATACAAACATGTTCCAGCTCACCATTGCATCCGTAGTGATCATTGAGCATTTTGATGTCATAAAAGGATATTATTCGAGATCCAAGGGTACGAAGATAGGTTGCGTCCAACGGAATCAGTGAGTCACCTCTTGTGGAAAACCTGAAAACATTCATTCCCTTTCCAAGTCTTCCATTCATTCCTTTCCTTGCTCGCTAAAGCGTTCCATTGCGGGAGGCGTGACAACTCTCCTCCCACAGTGAGAACTTCAAACTGAATTTAAATTTTTTTCCAATCAATGCATAATGGTCTTCTGGAAAATCTCTTTCCTTCGAAATTTCCCTCCCGTTCAGTTATCCTCGAGCCGTCGTAGGGTTATGCTGAAGGTTGTCTAGTTGTCCACTAATTCTAGAGGTGAAATCTACGCCGGGCACATTATGAGTTGGGGATTTTGGTCGAGTTCGTACGCCCCCCCCCCCACTCCAGGAAGTAGTTCGATACGACTCTCCCTACTTCCCTCCCCCGATACGGCTCAAGCGGAAATATAGCGGAAGGGGGGGGGTGTATAGTACATGTGAAACGGGAAAAACCGTGAGGAAAGTGCTAACCCCTTTGCCATCCTAGCAACCAGATTTTCAAGAAATCCCGAAAGAAGAGAGAAGGAAGTTCTCTTGCTTTCCAAACAAAGTTTTGCTGTGGAGGGAGGTGGGTATATAGCACGTGTGAAACAGGACAGGAGAAACTTAAACCCCGCAAATTCTCTCAGAAGGCAAATAAGACTCTTCCTCTCCCAACAACGAGCAAATATGACTTCCTATTGGGGAATCCCCAGCGATGATGTGCCATGAGTCCACGTCGATTGTGCGGGCGGTACACAGTAAATCACTCATCTTTTATTGTTCAGATCCTCCTTTTACAGTACTTAAGGGAAGGCATGCAATCAAGACACGGCATCATTGAGAAAATTCTGTAGTGGTATCGTATTGGCTGCAGTCTATTGACCCTAAGAAATTTTCCCTGGAGCGCATGCATTTTTTCCGATTGTTGTCTTTTCCTGTTGCCAGTTTCATGTGTGCTATACTCCCATCCCCAGTTGCTTGTGCACTCGGCTCGACAGCAATTTTTCTTTCGGGGGAGACCGAGAAAAGATGTTAGGAAAGTTTGGAAACTTAAGAAGTTGGTAGGTTGTATGGAGAAAAGAGGGCGGGAAAGGAGGAAACGTCGGAGTGTAGTGCTGCCGGCAACACCATCGTATCACACACCACAGTGCTGTGCCCTGGCGACAGTGAGAAACCAACAAGTGTTTGACTTCCTCCGCCCATTCGTTCAGTGCAGACAACGTCTTCGAACAAGATGGGTCAATGAAATGACGTCACTTACGATTTGGAGTCGTAGTGCATATAACTGCCGTATTCGTACGGTGTGTAGTTGATTATGCGGCTCGCTGGAAGTTTGACGTAGTTGTGCAACAGGTTCGGCTGAAATTGAAAATCCTGAAAGGGCGCCAACTTGGCTAACACTGCCCTACGGTCCGCATTCCTGCGCTGTTCCGTTTGGGTGGGGGAGGGGCATTTTGCACTTTGGCTGCATCCCACTATCACGTCGAGCCATCGGAAAGAGATTTTTCGCCTGTCAACTCCTTGCGAAGCATTGTGCACGATGATGAGAAGTAGCGGATGTGCAAAATGCTCCCCCCCCCTCCCAAGTAGAAATGCGCCCGTCTCCCTCCCTAGTCTAGGGTATATCATTTATTCTCCCACCGATCACCAGAAAAGGGATTTGAAATATGAACATTGAAAAGGGAACAAAACTATTAACGCAAGGCGTCTCCTCTTTTAACCCTGCATCCTTTTTAACTCAGGGATTGAAGGAGGAGACACCTGTCTTGCTATGCCAACGAATCCTTTACCACATAGGGCTAACAACCCTAGGTCCCGACAAGTGTAGCGTCCAACACCTCACTTACCGGTACCGACGACAGATCCACCCGTAGAAAAGAGTCCCGATCATCGCGCATTTGAGTGTGCCACACGCCGAGGGCGTGAGCAAATTCGTGCGCGGCGATTCCGATCTGCAAGTGGCAAGGTCTTCAAATTCATAAAATATTTCATATGAATTACAACACTTACCAATTCGCATCCTCTTCCCAGTGAGAGTGATTGCTCCCCGCCTGCCATTCCGATTGTGGCGAAGCAGCCAGCACCACTAAATACCCGCACTCGATTCGTAGCTACTGAACTTTCCGTGAAGTCAATGCAGGTACGATCACGAATGAAAGTCAGCGCATCCTTGACAACCGCTTTCGTTTTAGCACCTGAATTAAGCCTTTCGTGTGGTTTTTTTGATTATGAAGACATGTTTGGCGCAGTTCGGCTAGGTGGGGACATTCTGCTGGAACAAATTCCGGTGAAAACACTAAACTATAAAATCGGAAAAACACAGTGGGCACAGTATTCTGAAAGCGCAGAGTAGCGCCGATTGCACACTGTACCACTCAGTTTTCGCCTCGACAGTACCTGGCTGCAGGGATAGGGCAGAAGCTCTCTTCCTGGCATTTCTGCCCTCTTCTCCTTCCTGGCCTCAGCTTGACTTAAAGGCAGTTGGCACGATGGTTTCCTACTTAGCCTAAAATGCTAGTAGGGCGCTGTATAGTGGGGAAATGGCGAAAGAACGGAGTGAAACGGTCAAAATCCTGCGAAGAAAAAGCCTCCGTTCTCAGTGACTTGAAAATCGATTTCGGACGAGTTCCCGTAGGCATCTTGCCAATCACCGCTACCGAAGATACGGCTGCATATGTGTACCCATATATGCATGCAGCATCACGGCCGCTTCATACCAATCCCTTCGCTTCATAATTTGCTTAGCAAATGAATGAATACGAGCGTCAGGAACGGTCGTCCATTTGGGGCGGGCGTGGCGGGCGTTTGGGACGTAAAGTTGTGGCTTGATAGGGCCCTTGATAGGGCCCTTATAAGGGCACCTTCCTCGGGGAAACCGCTATGCAGCGCCTGCCCAGGGTCGCGGAATTCATCCTGCCAGGAGTATTGATACCAGGGATTTATCGTGCCAACTGCCTTTAAGGTATGCCCTGCCTCGTGTGCGTTCACGAGACGGACACATTTGCTTTCACGCGCACTTTTCGGGGGGGGGGGTACTGTATCCCGCATGCTTGCTGAACTTATAATCTTGTGATGAAACAAATGGAGCTCCACATACCGACAGTACTATCAAAGAAATAGAAGAGTCGATTATTTGCCCATCGACGAGCTCCACGGTCTACTTGACGCTTATGGCGTGTAACGTTCTCCTTCTGCTCCATACTATCTTCAAGCCAACCCATTTGTTCCCTTAAACAATGAACTCCTTGTGGAAGTGATTCAGTTCCTAAGCTGAAGCTCAAAAAGCTTGTTCAACAAAAGTGCCACCTTCCCCTTCCCCGTACTTGCTGGACGACTTCTGATCACCTCATTACTATTTGAAGATGCTGTCATGTACACTCCCTATCCCTGAGACGGAGTAGGCGTGGCATTTGAAAATGGCAGAGGTTACTCGTGGGATATTTCAATTTGAGACAACTGTCATCTTGTTCTGTGTTGAACAGAGACGTGCTTAAAACTGTCCAAAATGAAAATATTTCACGAAAACCTTGGCCGCCGTCACGTTCAGTTCAAGCGCGCAGCCACGCCTACCGCACCACACGGATTTCGAGTGTACGTAAAAGCTTCATCCTGTAAGTGATTTTCGGTTGAAATTTTTCCACACGAATTCCAGTTTGGTTGATATAGCGGTGATATACCAACGCGGTGAATTACGTTTGTCTTGTCACACAACCTGTGGATTTCCTCATAGCTCTGCATTCTTGGAAAAAGCTTTAAAAAATAAAAAAAATAAAAAAGTTACCAACATACTCTGTAAGATTGATGTCTCCTTGGAAAAGATACTCGGCAACACCTTCGACCTGATTGATCTCCTCAATAGTGGCCTCACCATCAACGAGCGTAGCGTTTGTATCGCTTGTAACCTGAAATCGTTGCCTCGCTAGACACTTGTGAACTTGGCAGTGAAACGTAGTTTTTCGTATCAGAAGATGACATGGAGCGTTGCGTTGTCATCTGCAGCATCGGAGCACTATTGCGAAAGTAGCGCGTCGAG